CAAACTATTCTCTACTTTTGTATGTTTAAATTTTTCTATAAAGTTTTAAGGAAACTTTTTAAAAGTTAGACCTTTTAGACCCACACACAGATTCGTAAATGATATTCAGACATGAACGTAGCATAGTATCCAGCTAACCAAAATAATCCAGGTTTTGAATCTAGAAAAGGAGCAGAAAAAATCACAGCAAGAAATGGCATTAGCAGTACACTTTAAACTTGGTCTTCTTTAAAAATTAAGTTACTTAAGCCCAAAAGAAACTAGATTGGGCACATTTTCTCTCAAAAGCCAAACAGACAGATATACACATCACAAGTCCAGTCAAATATCTATTTATTAAAAATAAAAATGATCGAAAACAACTGCCTATTTACCTCCACTTAGCCTTCAAAAACGTTCATGGGAATCTGCAAGCCCCTCTTGCTTACTGAGAGGGACCACAGGGCAGCCCAGGAAACCATACAGAAAGCTGAACCACTTGTAACCAGCTCTTACAAATACTGTTCTAAACTAACTGCAGATAGCAATGGTGAACCAAATTTTAGGCAGCATTTTCTATTAACATACATGCTGCCATTTCAATTCCTATTTTAAAGCAAGAGAGAGAGAAAGAGGTCACACTGTACAGTACCCTCCCACCATGGCATTGGCAAAGTTGAAGCCACAGTTAGAATTATCCTAATAAGTGGTGAGCCTCAACACCCAAAACAATTGTGTAAGATCCATTTTAGCCAGTAAAGCACCAGTTCTAGAACCAATGGGTATCTGATTCAATCACTAACATCAAAATCTATGGCCATGATTACCACCAACCACCCTCCCTCTCAACCACTGGCTACCATCCACCACCACCAGCAGCCCAACCAAAAAGCAGTTCAAAGAGAAAAGAACCCTGACAGGAAGGCTTCTTTTTAAAAAATATTTAAACCCGACAACCAAATACATACATACAGAACCAGCGATCTAAACCTGTACAGTTACTGCATATGAGATTTAAGCTGTCATTAACAAAGCTTGCATTTGATCATCTCAAACAATACCATAATAACCGCAAAAAACCAAAGGGAAAGGGAAAAGTTTCCTTCAGGAACCCCAAACCACCATGTCAGGTGCATGAAGGCTAGAAACCAACTCCTATCTTGGTTTTGTGCTTAAGAAAGCCGGACCAACTGCAGAATCTCAAAGCCGTGTGTGTGTGTGTGTGTGTGTGTGTGTGTGTGTGTGTGTGTGTGTGTGTGTGTGTTGGGGGTGGGGATAGGGAGATAGGGAGGAAAAAAGGGGGTTACATTTATAGAGGCCATTGACTTATGCCAGCACCAAATTTGATCCTTTCAGGTAAAGACAATTTCTCCCTGACCCCTGGACAGTCTCCCTCTAACTCCCCCACCTCCCCCTTCCAGGAACGGGTTACCTGGCAGGAAAATATACATTTGGAAATCAACACTGCAGGTGCTCAAAGAATAAAGAAAGACATACATTTATACACACACACAAAGCCAATCAGAAAGAAAAAAAAAAAAAAAGAGAAAAGAAAATACAAAAAAAAAGAAAAGGGAGAGGGACAATTGGGTGACAAGCCCTTCAGATACCAGCTAGGATTTTATTCTTTCCTCCCACCACTCCTCCCTGGTATACCTTTTTCTGTCTTTTAACCAAATTTCTCTTGTACACACACATGTGTATATATATGTGCACAGATAATATTATAATTAACCCTTTCTGTAATAGAGCCCCATACGGAATACAGAAAGATATTCCGTCCTTTCCTCTTCGCTCTCCCCTCCTCCCTCCTTTCTCCCTACCAGGAGAAAACGCCCCCTTTCCCAGCTTCACCCAAAAAAGGGGGGTGGCAAAGGAGGGGGGCAGAGAAACCACAAAACCCCATCAGTCTCCAGTCCCGAGGACACCCAGGAAAGGTATATACTATACAGACACACACACACGGACATATGGTTCCGTAGAAAGCACACAGAGACCGTCCACAGGAGCCCCAAACCCAGCAGAGACTTCCACCAGCCAAGAAGCCATGATTGGGGAGGGAGAGGAGGAAGGAATGGGGGCACAGCTATCGGTAGAGGGGGGCGCATTGTTGTGATGCCTGAACCCCTTTCTCTCTGCCCATCTGCTGTGGAGGGGGCGCAGGGAGGGGGCGCAGGGGACAGGCGAGCAGGCACGGCTTTGCGATTCCCTCCTGCTGCCTGTCTGCCCGCGCCCCCAGCTCCCCCCAACAATAAGACCTCAGCCTAGACAGACAGACAGACCCGCCAGAACGCGGCGGGGAAAGCAGCAGAGCCGGTCGCAGCCGAGTGGGGTCGTGCATAAAGGGAAACCGGGGGGAGGGGGGTCCCCCTTACCTCCAGCGCTTCAAAAGTGACAAAGCTGGTCATGGCAAATCCATCAATGATGTCCTCTTCGGCTGAGGTGGACTCTCTCCGCTTCCTCCGCGGGGGTCTGGGCCGGGACGGGGCGGAGGACGGGGGCTTCCCATTGTCTTCCTTGTCGGAGCCCGACGACGAGGCGAGCGAGGG